CATTTCTGTCTTCTGTATCAAGGTGATGAAAGCAAGAGGTGGGCGCTTGACGGAGAATGCAAAGAAGGTAATTGGTCAGTCGAGAGAGCTAAGAATTAGGCAGCTACTGCCACCAGGTATTGTATCTAAAAAGTGGGAAAAAAACATGTGGCATTCTCAGCCTATGATAGCAAGAATGAAATGGAAAAATCAAAGCAAATTTCTTTCTGTTGACCAAAAGACCCTCAATTAATGGAGCAGAAAATCGAGAACCCCCTTTAAAGAATAAAGACCACGAAATCACATTGAAAACGGACAAAACTATTACCCCTCATAAAGTCAATATTTACGCTGAAACCGGACGAAAGTCACTGTTCAAAAGAGGCATTGACGCTTTATATATAGTTATGACTAGTTTTTTAAGCCTCGCGCTATGCGTGAGGTTGCCCCTAACCTGTGTTAATCTAATTTAATTGATGGTAGGTTGTTTGGTGTCAAACATTTGCGTTGTCAAAATGTGGTGAACTGTGGCAGGTTTTTATGTGCAGTGGCAAGATTGGTTTTGTTTGTGCATGCATGGGTGTCATGTATTTTTATTGAAGTTGACACTTGGCAGTTTGGTTCATAGTTGTGTGACAACTATTATGTTATGTGATTTTTTGTGAATCAATGTGGAGGTTTTGCTCTATAAGAATGTGGAATGTCTTGTTAAAAGGTGTGTGGTGCGTGGTTGTTCATTTTCTTCTCAAGTATTTTGATGATAGGTTTTTCTAGTAGCTGGTAGGAATATAACAGTGTTGTAGTGGTATATTTATAAAAGGGTTATTTTGATATAGGAGTTTTGGAGTAGTGGATTGTAAGTTTGTAAATTATTTTTGCATTATTATGGAGATGAATCGTGTGTCTATTAGTCAATTAAACGATAGTATCTATGCATGGAGGAAAAGTGTGTCTATTATAACAGTTCTATTATAACATTTTGTTCAGATTGCAAATGGACACTTTTATAGTTAATCGTCTGTCTATTATTCTTTAGAGCCCAAGGAAAAGTAGGTTTCCATATCACACCAACATTGACCTAACCACGTGTGAATGCATACGTTAACAAATATTACTCCACTTTACGTTTATAAGTTTTTCATCTTTAACTTCACATTTCTAAAGTGTTTAACATATGAATTGAAAAATGTATAATATTCACTATAACATAAAAAAGCATGTGCAAGTAAATAATTGGTTCATACTGGCACAAAATGTCTCTCTTTGCGAGAGGAAATTTCTCTCTATTCTAGAGAGTGGAAATCCCTCTTGGTGGGTGTTCATACTTTTCACACTTCCCGCAACAGAATTCAAATGCTGAACCATCAGCTTTTAGTGCCTTGAGTAATAATTCTTCCATTAATGGAAACTTAACGTTTCCTGCATTCCATTAATGGAAACTTAACGATTTCTGTCTTCCATTAATGGCAACTTACCGATTTTGTTTTCTGTTGGAATAAACTTGGGTCGTTCTTTTGCTGGCAGCCAGATCTATCGGTCCTCTTTAGATCCTTTTGAATAATGAGCAATTGTTGCTGAGTTCCTTTCTGTTTTAAGTCTGTTTCGTAGTATTAGGTCAGTAATTTTGTTTTCCTTGTTGTTGGCTTCTTGTTTCAGGACTGTTTGGTACTAGATTTGTTGGCGGCATTGAAGGACGCTGAGTAGCTCCTGGTCTGATTTGTTTTGGAAGCTTCCTGTGATTAGCAGCGAGGTGGACTGTGGATAGGCCAATAGAGAATATTGAGGAGGTTTTGCGCAGATTCAGATTGTCGAAGAAGGAAAGGGTGGGAGTCCAGTTAGAGGAGGATGAGGTGGCTACAGGAGTATTAGAATGCAAGCAAAGTCTGATAGGCAAGGTTTGGGGAGAAAAACGAGCTAATGTAAATGGTATTAGGAGTTTTACGCACAGCATGTGGTCTCAGGTGAGGCACTTAAAAATAGTGGAGGTTGGGTGTAATTTGTTCCAATTCATGTTTGATAAGGAGCAGGATTTGGAGATGGTGTTGGATAGGAGGCCATGGATCTATGATGGTCAGCCTTTAATTTTGCTTCGCTGGGAACCTGGAGTGGACGAAAATGAGGAGAGGCTGCGTAGAACTTTAATTTGGGTACAGATCTGGAATATATTATTGCATTGGGTAACAAAGGAAGCTGGTAGGAAGATGGGGAATATATTTCAGCAGGTGAAGGAGGTTATTATTCCTCAGAGTGGGGGCAAGGATGGGAAACAGTTGAAGGTGTTAGATGAAATAGACCTTTCCATTCCCCTACCTAGAGGCATTATGGTTAGCTGAATGGTGTTAAGAGGTGGATTGAATTTAAATATGAGAAATGTCCAGATTTTTGCTTTGGCTGTGGTCTGATTGGTCATGGTGAAAGGAACTGCAGTAAAAGAGGCTTGAACACTGATAGGTCTTCACAGTATGGGAATTGGTTGAGAGCTAGTTACCCTAGGAGTCCTAATAGGAAAAGCAAGTCTGGATATGGACGTGAGGATAGGGGGGAAGCGGGGAGTCAAAGTTATGCTACTGGGGAACTGAGGAGGGAGGGGGAAAAACTCCTTTTAACATACACAGATGATTTTCATAAAAGGGAGGATCTTAAACATATTGTTCAGGAGGAGTTGGAAGGGGACGTTGGAGCTTTGAGGGGAGAGGGAGAGGGGATGAAGAGAGAACCTGCTGGGGTTGGGGAAGGGAGAGGAAGAGTAAACAGGAAGAGGGAGGCATAGAGCAGAAAGATGCAGGAAAAGGGGCAAGGATTATTGAGGAGAGGGGAAACGAGGGGAGGCAAGGGGTACAAGCTACACAACTGGAGAAGGAAAGCTCAGAGGTAAGAATGGGGGATTTAGTTGATCTGATGTGGATTGATGGAGTTAGGGGAAAGGGTAGGGAGGATAGAGTTGGGATTAAGGGGACAGGAGGTAAGAAAGGAGTTGTGAGAGCTGAGGGAGAGGAGGAAGGAGGGAACGGGGGAAAGCAGAGGGGGAGACCTAAAGGTAGTCTTTCTGCAAACAAGAGTTGGAGAAGGTTGGTGATGGAGGTGAGTAGGAGGAAACCATTGGTAGAGGCAAATAGTGGGGTCACGGCTGGGGAGAAAGGGAAGAGGAAGATAGAGGAGATGGGAAGGGAGGGGGAGGAGGAGCAGGCAGGAAAGGAAAACTGGAAGAGAGCCAGATCTGAGGATGGCAATTGTGATTGGATGGAAGTAGCTGAGGGATTGGAGTCCTCCCTTAATGGGACTCTAACATCTAAATGAAGACTGTGGTATGGAACTATCGAGGTGTGGAGAGCCCCTTGACAGTTCTCCAGTTGAGGGAGGTCGTGAGACTCCACTCTCCTTCTTTAGTGTTCTTATCAGAAACCAAAAAGAAAAAAAAGTTATCTAAACAGTGTGATGCAATGGATTAGATTTGATAAGGTGTTTGTTGTTGATCTAGTGGGTAGGGCAGGGGGTTGGCAGTGATTTGGAAACAGGAATTAAAGGTGAAAAAGGTGTTGTTTACCAGTTTCACCATTGAATTACTAATTGGTGACACATAATTTGGCTTTGATTGGTGGTGTATCTGTGCTTATGCTAGCTCAGATGCAGGGATTAGGAAAGAGCAATGGAATGTAATTAGTAGAAGAAAGGTGCTGTGGGGGGGGAGTATTGGGCAATTATGGGAGATCTAAATGATATTATTTCCAATGGTGAGAAGTGGGGGGGTAATGTGCGAGCAGAAGTAAGATTTCAAGACTTCAACTCTTTCATCAATGACAATGACTTGCTGGATATTGGCTTTGATGGACCTCCTTGGACATGGTATAATAATTGGGGGAATGAGGGAGAGGTGAAGGAGAGGCTTGATAGGATCTTGGGAACGAAAGAATGGACTCGGAAGATAGATAAGGTAAAGTGTTTGCATGTGGAAACTGAGGCATCAGATCACTGTAAGTTAGTTCTAGATACAAATCCAGGAGGTAAGGTGTGGAAGAAAAGGTTTATGTTTGATAGGAGGTGGTTACTGAATAAAGATATAAAGGAGGTAATTGAGAAAGCTTGGGGAGAACATCAACAAGGATCCAAGCTATATAAAGTCTAGTGTAAAATAAAAAAAAGTGAGGGTGGATCTGCTGAGTTAGAGTAAAAGAAGTTTCTGTAATGCAAAGAAGCTGATTGAGCAAGTTAAAAAGGAAATAGAGGAGGTTAAGTTGAATAGGCCAGGTGATTATAGGATTAAACTTTTGGGGTTAAAGAGGAAGTTGGCTGCTGCCTATAAAAAGGAAGAGTTATTTTGGAGTCAGAAGGCAAGGTTGAAATGGTTAAAGGAAGGGGACAAGAACACTGGTTATTTTCATGCTACTGTGGCTGGAAGGAGGAAGGTAAATAGGATCAGTGTTTTGAAGAGAAGGGATAGGGTCTGGTGTGGAAGTGAGGAGGAAACCAGTAAAGAGATTTTAGACTACTTTGAGCGAATTTTCACTTCAGATTATCCTGAGGAATTTACAGAAGTAATACAAGGAGTCCCACAGTCTATCTTTGCTGAGATGAACAGGAAGCTAACCAGGGAAGTCCCAGAACAGGAGATCTATCAGGCAGTATTCTCAATGCATGCAAACAAATCTCTTGAACCAGACGGTATGACTCCTTGTTTTTTCCAGAAGTTTTGGCATATTGTTAAAACTGATGTTGTGCAAGTAGTTCAGAGTTTCTTTCATTTTGGTTTTCTTTTGAAATTTGTCAATGGGACCTTGATCAGTTTGATTCCTAAGCTTGATTCTCCTATTTCAGTCACAGACTTTAGACCTATAAGCTTGTGTAATGTCATTTATAAAATCATTGCTAAGGTTCTGACTACCAGATTTAAATGTGTCATGAACCATTGCATTAGTATTTCTCAGTCTGCCTTTGTGCCAGGCAGATAGATTCTTGACAATGTGTTGATTGCTCATGAAAGTGTTCATTTTTTAAAAAACAAAAGGACTTGAGGGGATGGGTATATGGCTGTCAAGCTAGATATGTCCAAGGCTTATGATAGAGTGGAATGGATGTTTTTAGAGAAGCTTATGGAGAAAATTGGTTTTTGTCCTAAGTGGATTCAATGGATAATGGAATGTGTAACTAGTGTGACTTATTCTGTGAACATTAATAGGGAAAAAACTGGGTTTATTAGGCCAATTAGAGGTTTGAGACAGGGGGATATTTTGTCTCCTTACCTTTTTCTGATTTGTGCTGAAGGGTTTTCGTCTCTGATTAAGCAAGCTAATAGTCAAGGTTCCTTGACAGGCATGAGAATTGCTTGAGGGGCACCTAGATTATCTCACTTATTTTTTGCAGACGATTCCTTGATCTTCTGTAAAGCAAGTGAGGGAGAGGCAGGCCAGCTAAGGAGGATTCTGGAGGTGTACAGGAAGGCTTCAGGTCAGTTGATCAACATGGAGAAGTCCTCACTGTTCTTCAGTAGGACTGTGGGTCAAAGACAGAAGATGGAGGTGATGAATGTGCTCCAGGAAATGCAGCAGGTCTCTCAAAGCAAATATCTGGAATTGCCTCTAGTTATTGGTAGATCAAAGAGACAAGTCTTTGATTTTATAAGGCAAAAAACAATAGCTAGATTGAAAGGATGGAAGGAGAAATTGCTAAGTTTAGCTGGGAAAGAGGTGCTTCTGAAATCTGTTATTATGGCCTTGCCCACCTATGTTATCTCCTCATGTCTTCTCCCAAAAATATTGTGCAAGGAGATTTGCTCAGAAATGACAAAGTATTGGTGGGTCAGAAGGAGAAGGAGCATAAGGTGCATTGGCTAAGTTAGGGGAAGATGACTGAGGTGAAGGCAGAAGGGGGGTTGGGATTTAGGGAGCTTCATGAGTTCAATCTGGCCTTGCTTGCGAAGCAGTTGTGGCGGATTCTGATGAATCCCAACTTACTGGTAAGTAGAGTTCTGAAGGCCAGGTACTTTAGGGGAACATCTATTTGGAGAACAGGAAGTTATGGTACAGATTCCTATTGTTGGAAGAGTTTGCTGCAGGCTAGGGGTATACTGGAGGAGGGAATAAGGAAACAGGTGGGAGATGGCAAATTTATAAATATATGGGAGGATAGATGGATTCCAGGGTCTGGTGATGGCAAAGTAAAGACTAGAAGGGCAGGGGATGTTGAGTTGCAGGAAGTAAATGAGCTTATCAAGGAGAGAGTGTGGGACAAGGAACTGATAACCCAGGTGTTTGATAGGGATGAGGGCAGGCAGATTTTGAGTATTCCACTTAGTGAGGTGCCTAGGAAGGATAGGTTATTTTGGGCTTTTTCTAACACTGGCATGTACACTGTAAAATCTGGGTACAGGCTGGCAAAGGAAAAGAAAAGGATGGATGGAGACGTGTGGATTGAGGCAGGAACCAGCTATGGGAGGACAGGTGCAAATCAGCACTGGAACTTCCTCTGGGGGCTGAATGTGAAGCATAAATTAAAGCATTTCATCTGGAAATGCTTGCATGCATCCTACCAGTAAATGCAGTGATAAGGGAACGATGTTTAAAGGGAGATCATATGTGCAAAGGATGTGGGGAAGGGCCAGAAACCATTGAACATATGTTGTTTTTCTGTAGCAATGCAAAGCTAATATGGAAAGCTGCACCTCTAAGCTGGGAGGGCCTGAAGGATTACAGGAACAGGTTTTGGCACTGGTGGGAAGTGCTTAAAGAAGCTGTGAGCAAGGAGAAGGGTAATGAACGTATATGCCTGACAATTAATCTGCTTTGGCAAATTTGGAAGTTCAGAAATGATAAGCAGTTTAATGGTTGTGGGAGAGATCTAGTGGTTGCAGTTAATAAGGCAGTAGTAGAGTGCAAGAGTATCAGGAGGCTCAAGAGACTGAGGGAGAAGTTAGGAACAGTGGTACGAAAGAGGACAGGGAGGTGCATGGCTGGGAAAGGCCACAGGAGGGTTGGATAAAATTGAATTCAGTTGCTGCCTTGCATAGTAAGGGAGATAGAATAGGTTCGGGAGTGGTGGCGAGGGATTGGCAAGGGTTGGTGTTAGGTGCGTGGGCTGCACCATCTTCAAGCTATTCGAACCCAAAGCAAGAGGAAGCAATGGCTCTCAGACTAGCTACGAAGTTGGCAAAGCAAAATGGGTGGAAAAAGGTGGTGTTTGAGGTAGATTGTTTACAGGTTGTGGAAGAGCTTAACAGGGAAGGTAATGATAGGATTGGGTCAGCGGTGCTTGAGGATATTAGGAGTATTCGAGATTTTTTTGATGAATGTTGTTTTACTTTCATTAGGAGAGTAAACAACTCTATTAGTCATACGCTAGCCAAATTGGCAGTTATTTTAGAAAATTTAGCTGAATGGAAGAAGGCCTTCCCAGCGTGGCTGTATGAACTTGTGCAGATGGATTGTGAGGGCAGTTGCCCAGCCTTTTTGTAATTCGTTTCCATATACTAATAGAATGTTGTCGTTTTGGAAAAAAATAATAATTGGTTCATTCTCTGTCATTTCTAAAGTAATAAGGGCCATTAAAATTCCTATTTCTAAAGTAGTATAAGAAACACTTACCTTTAAAAAGGAAAAATCATTTTTAATTGTTCTCTTGAGCAAAAAATTATTATAAAAATGTTGAAGGGTATGGATAAAGACAACTAATTTTTGGTAACAGCAGAGTGATAATTGGCATCTTTGGAAGGGGCAAATTGAAATTAAGATTTATCTCTATAAATATGGAGTATATGCATAGGCAATCCCAACTTCGAATTTTCTATGCCTAACTTCACCTCTCTTTCCATAACCAGAGACAGCAATCCAAAATGATGCGGTACGCCACCGCTGCCTTGCTCCTCCTTGCACTTTCGATCATCGCCGTTGCTGAGGCTCGTGATAACTTCCTAAAGTAACCGTCGGAAATTGCGGACTTTTTCCATCCCAAGGAGAGGAGCGACGCCGGTGGCGACTCAGTGGGGACTAGATGGGCTGTTCTTATTGCCGGATCCAACGGTTACTGGAATTACCGCCACCTGGTGATCAAATCTGTACTTTTGACGAATTGTTTTATTTTGCTGAAATTTTCTCCATTGAGTTTATTTCTCGTAAGATTGTTTTTTTTTTGTTGAAGTATCCTCCTGATGATCGAGCTGCAGAGCAACGTTTTTTTTCCCCTTAACAAAAAAAAAACAAGAACGGATTTTTTTAAAGGATTATTTGGATTAAGAATTTGGGTTCCAGATAAATTGGAAGGCTTCATAGCTTCACGATTTTTGCTACAGCTGAGAATGGTTAAGGATAATTAAATCCTTGTGACATTGTCAGCTGAGACAATGATAAAGTTTTCGTGTTTCATCTGATTAGGGACTGAATTACGTGGTACATAATATTAACTTGATTACTGTTAAAGGCTTTTAAGGAGTGGAGCTGCTTTTCTTAAGTGTGGGAAATTTTTTTCTTGTTGGTTGCTCAGCTCAGTCTTGATGTCCTGTATCTAAGCCTTTTTGAGTTATGTTCCATAGAAGGGGGAAAAATGATTTTGAGCTATATAACCGAGGTTTTCAGCACAAGGTAATACTGGCAGTGTAGGATATAGTATCCACGTTTTAGAATCTAAGACAAGGAAAGCTCCAGTTTTGGCTGTTGAAGAGTAATTATAGTTTGGATATCTGAAAAAGTAAAGGCTTCTGTTAAACTTTCTGTCTAAATCTTTACCATTGTTAGCTCGTTTTTTGGGCCAACAGACAATATTGGGGCAGCATACCTGTTTTCTACAATGTTAAGAATCTCTAATTGCTTATGCGTGCTACATGTTTGTTTTTTGCCGGAAGAACTAATTGATTTGAGATGCTGTGATTTTGTCTTGTTGTGTTAGTGAGTCTGGAAGAGGAAATTCGCATTTCTACTCTAAACATGCATGCCTAAGGCGGCTAGGTTTCTCTTTCAAACATGGGATTCCACTCTTGGAGACTCGAGGCTTTTGTGATTTTTACTGCGATGGAATTGTTTAATTACTTCTTTCAGCTAATAAATTAGACTTTTTTGTTCTGGATCTGTGAAGAACTTTGTTACTATAGTTGTTATGGTTGGCAATTTGTTGAAAAAGGAAGGTTGTGAATGTCTGTTTAGAAGGACTCTTGCATACCATGACATTGAAATATGTACAATTGTGTTTATTGATTCTATGGTCTTTAATGTTGTCTATCTGTTCATGAAGTGCAATGTTGGTGTTCATAAGTACAACTCTTGCTTAATAATTCCTGCTGTAATGTTGTCTTGACCACATCTTTGTAGAGGATATGAGTTATTTTCTTGTTTTACTTAGTTAGCATTTTAACGATTTGATGGTTTTTTGATCTAGGCTAATGTTTGTCATGCCTATCAAATCCTGAAGAGGGGAGGTCTTAAGGATGAAAATATTGTTGTCTTCATGTATGATGATATTGCTTACAATGAAGAGAACCCTAGGCCTGGGGTTATCATTAACAGCCCTCATGGTGATGATGTCTATCAAGGAGTCCCAAAGGTTTCTTCTTCTTCTTCTTCTTCCTGAAGAATGAATTTCTTGTAGAATTCTAATATTTTCTATTGAGACTTGATGCACCCATGTGTGGCAGGACTATACTGGAGATGATGTTCATGCCAAAAACTTTTTAGCTGCTATCCTTGGAAACAAAACTGCAATTACTGGTGGTACTGGCAAGGTTGTGGACAGTGGTCCAAATGATCATATATTTATTTACTATACAGATCATGGTGGTCCTGGGGTTCTTGGTAATTAACTTTAACATCTCTTCTTATTAGCAGTTAACTCATCCCTTAAATCATTTTGTTATGATGTTCTTTTCCACTGTCTAAATTCCCAAAAATGGGTCACATTCATGTTTTGCTAATCAGAAAGCTGCATCTGCCACTTATGCTTTCCTTACTAGAGATTGGTCCTTAAGCACCATTCTATGATGGTACTTGACCTATTATAGGAAGGGGAAAAAGAAAAAAGAAAAAGAAACCCTGGCAGATAGGAAGCCTCTCCATTTCAAAATAAGAGACATACCTATGATTTTTGGTTGTAGCTTGGAAATTGTATTCCTTTAATAATTCGTTTCTTTTGCATAAACCTTTTCTCTTCTATCCCAAATTTTGTGTACCTGGGGAAATTTGTGGGATGGTCAAAAACTAATTTTTATATTTCATGTTCTATACAGTTCTAATTTATAATTTTAGGCTTTAAAATGATAGATTTGCAATACTTTTCCTTTGTGTTGGATGGTCTACTTGTTTGTTTTCTTTATTATTTTGGAATTTGAATCCTAAGTATGGTCAAAGCATAGGTCCACCATCTGAAAGAAAAATACTGAAATCTACATTGTCTACATAAAGTAGAAGTTTAAATTCCAAAAAAATTTTGGTTGATTATATTTTTATCACTTAATGCTATGTTGTTGATCAATAACTTGGACTGTAGGATTTTTCTTTTACTGATAACATTGTTGTCATTTAAAATCATGCCATCGATCAATAACTTGGACTTTAGGATATTTACTTTTATTTTGGCATGCAATCAGGGATGCCGTCAGGTCCTTATCTCTATGCAGACGATCTGAATGAAGTCTTGAAAAAGAAGCATGCTTCTGGCACACACAAAAGTCTGGTATATATTCTTTCCTTTTTACATTTCCTTGTAAATTATGCTCAAAGAGGGTGCATAGATGGTTACTGAAGTCTAAAATGTGTTGGATACTGTTATCAATATCTAGGTTTTCTACCTAGAAGCTTGCGAGTCAGGAAGTATATTTGAGGGACTTCTTCCTGAAGATCTAAATATATATGCTACCACAGCGTCAAATGCTGAGGAAAGTAGCTGGGGGACCTACTGCCCTGGAGAGTATCCTAGCCCCCCCAGAATATGAGACCTGCTTGGGTGACTTGTATAGTGTTGCTTGGATGGAAGACAGGAATGTTTTACTGGTATTGAAATATCCTAGCCACTTGTGCATATTATTAACTGTCATGTCAGATATTAATCTGGAGATATACTTGTTTTAAATGCTAATCTTTTAAGGTTTCATGTTGGTGTGATCATGATACTGTCTTTTACATATCACCAGTATGCTGAAGAAAAGTGCCAATGAACTGCAATATATGGACTTGAATACAATATATATGAACTTGAATACAATATATGGACTTCAATTGGAGGTGTAACATTTGAATATAGTTATTGGGTATTTTTTTAGTCTCTAACAATCAAAGTGGTCTACATGATTTCTGTTTTCTTCATTTGTTTTTGGTGCTCATCATAATAGTTTTCCCTTCTACAGCGAGATACACAATTTGCGGACCGAAACTCTGAAGCAGCAATATCACCTGGTAAGGGCTTGTTCCTCATTTTAAATTACATTGAAAGGAACATTTTATGTTTCATTACTCAAAACAATTAGCAAGTACCATCTTGTGATTTCAAAATGCTTGAAATTGGCAGGTTAAAAAGAGAACCTCAAGCAGTAATTCAGCTTATGGCTCCCATGTTATGCAATACGGTGACCTAAAGCTGAGTTTGGAGGATCTTTTCCTCTACATGGGTACCAACCCTGCAAATGATAATTACACTTTTGTGGATGAAAATTCCCTATGGCCATCTTCAAAAGCTGTTAATCAACGTGATGCTGATCTGTTTCATTTCTGGGACAAGGTATTACAGCTTCCTTGTAGTGCATTGAGTTGTTCTGATGCTTGTCTTATGATGTCCCAAGTTTTAGTTTACGAGTTATAACAGTGATGTGGAGCAGGACAAGGGTAAATCTGCCCCTCAGCCCATGGTAGATTGAAAAGAAGTTAAGACATTTGGCTTCACTGCTATGCAGGAACGAAAAGTGTTTCTTGGAGATTTATTTGCTCCCTAGTTATATAGAACTAAGTGCTGATTAGTATAAAGATTGTTGGTTAGAACAGGTATTAATTAAGAATGTGCTCATGTTGTATTCTTGCAGGGTAAACAAGAGAACTAGCCGAAACTATACTAGTAATTTTTTGTTTTATGAGAACAGAGCAGAAATCCTCGACTGGGTGACTTAGAATGATCCCCTTTCCTAATGAGGGGGAGATAATAGTGCAAAAGCTTAAATTCCTTCCCAAGATGTGGCTGACTTTGCTGTTACTTCTTTCATGCTTGTAGTTCCGCAAGGCTCCTGAAGGCTCTGCGAGGAAAGTTGAAGCTCAGAAGCAGGTTGTTGAAGCTATGTCACACAAAATGCATATTGACAATAGCGTGAAACTAATTGGAAAGCTCTTGTTTGGAATTGAGAAAGGTTCTGAGATACTGAACACTGTCCAGCCAGTGGGCCATCCTCTTGTTGATGACTGGGACTGCCTAAAATCTTTGGTAAACTTTTATGTCCATTTTCTGAAATCCCCAAGCAACATACTGAATGACACCAATTACAGTTATT